TTCTTTCCTATATGGACCAGGAAATGAGCATAGGCTGCTAATAGTTCATAGCTTCATCTTTCTCTTGAGAATTACCCTGTGCCAACAGAAGCCACTTCAGGACATTCCTGGGAGGTATGCTCTCTCAGGGACAGCCCCACAGCCAATGATGTGGTGTCAATTTCTACAAAGCAGTCAGCTGGGATTCTAATACGGATTGAATTATCAGTGACGTTATGCAATCAGTAATTGAATTATCAGCAAATGATGCTAGGGTGCAAAATTCCTCCCCCCTTTCTCAAGGTGGGACAAATGTGCCATTTATGTTCCACAGTTTCTGGAGGCTAAACGTATCCACCTGAACTTAAAACTTCCCCCCCCTTTCCTATCTTTCATCCTATACTCCATTGTAGGTTTTACTTGAGAGTACTCCCTCAATAAACCACTTGGACAGAATTCCTTTCTTGGGCTCTTTCTAGGGAATCCAAGCTAAGACAGGAGAATAGTGGCACTAAGAGATAACAATAAAAGGAGCAGTTTGGGTTTGGCAAGAGGGTAGTGCAAAGGTGAGTTCAATTTGGGAATGTTAAAATGTCATTGGCTGGAATAGAAGGAACTTCCTCAATAAAGTGCATCTATAAAAACCTGAGACTTAATATCATACTTAATGGTGAAACACTGGATGCTTTTCACCTGAGATCAGAAACAAGACAAGGATATCCACTCTTTCCACTTCTCGTTAACATTGTACTGAAGCTTCTAGCTAGGGCAGTTAGGCAAGAAAAAGAAATAAAAGGCATCTAATTGGAAAAGAAGAAATGAAACTATATTCACAAATAGCATCTTGAATATAGAAAATCCTAAGGAATCCACTTAAAAAAGCTATTAGAATTAATAAATGAATTCAGCAAGGTTGCAGGATATAAAGTCAGTATACAAAAATTCATTGTATTTCTATACATTTGCAATGAACAATCTGAAAATGACATCAAAATAATTCCATTTGCCACAGAATTAAAAAAACAGGAATAAATTGAACAAGAAATGCAAAACTTAGGCTATGAATATTACAAAGCATTGTGAAAAGATAAGATCTAAATAAATAGAAAAACATTCATGTTCATGGATCAGAAGACTTAACATTGTCAAGATGGCAACACTCCCCAAATGATCTCCAAATTTAATGCAGTTTCTACCAGAATTCCAGGTGACATATTTGTAGAAATTGACAAGCTGATTCTAAAATTCATGTGGAATTGCAGAGGGCTCAGAATAACCAAAACAATTCTGAAAAAGAAGAATAAAGTAGGAGGACTTAACTTCTCAATTTCAAAACATACTACAAAGCAGTGATAACCAAGTGAGTGTGGTACTGGCACAAGAATGGAACCATGGAATAGAATTTAAGAGTTCGGTTATAAACCCCTATATCTGTAGTCAACTAATTTTTAAGTGCACCAGGACCATCCAATGTGGAAAGAATAGTCTTCTCAATAAATAGTCTCAGGGCCAGCCTGTGGCTCACTTGGGAGAGTGTGGTGCTAATAACACCAAGGCCG